CAGCAACCGCTCGATGCCACAAAGCCCAAATCAACAAAAAGAAGCAGAAGAAAAGCGGACGTTAGCAAAGAGGCCAAAAGGAGCAACGCCGTACTGGTGGAAAAAAAACACGTTGTAAAAGCCAAGTTGGGAAAAACGAAAAGCAAACCTTTTTGAAAGAGCCATGGCGTCCCACGAGGAGCAAGTTTGTCGCGCTCGAGACGCGACCGAGTGGCGACCACGGGTGGAAAAAGCTGCTGCTGGCACGACGCTGCACAAACGAGGTGCACGCTCGCCTGCTTCCTCATTTCGTTTCAGCACGTTCCACTTCTCGATTGGCATGATTGACTTTTAAATGTTTACACGAAAAGGCAACAATAAAACGATGGAGAAATAAACTTCCAGGCGTAATGAATTTACATAAATCTTCAATAAATACAAATAAATACCTCCCAAGCTGCACATATCCACAATGACGTTTCTCGGGGTCCGTCAAAAGAATGTTTCTACGAGATTGTTGATGATGGCAAAAACCTAATTTCTGAAATAGGGCTCACTGTGATTTGGCTTACATGCTCTTTGTGTTTCTTGCCTCCTCCAGACGTCCGGCAGCTGATTGGTCATCGAGAGGAGCTCAACCCTCACCCGCAGGTTGGGACCTCCCGTTTGGAGCTGCCCCACCACGTCAAAGAGGAAAAAAAGACTTGCGACACAGTTTTCCTCTTCCGAACACCTAAACTTTGAAACAATGGTTTGTTTTTCACCAAACGACATGTATAGGTTTTGACAAACGTGACAGTTATGTCAACCAAATACACGTTTATTTCGTTGGTTTGCATTGGTACAACGCTCTCCGTATGCGTAAAAAGGAGGACTGAAGCGGATTTCACATATCCACCCAAAACTAGCTGCCCTAGGCAAGAGGGCCCCACGAAATATGTCTTTTGTTCGGTGACAACTGCTGTGTTTTTGTTCTGTGTTGTCTGTTTTCTGCCACTGTTGATCTCGATGTGTTCTTGTGGAAAAGAATTCCCCCACGGGGACCGTCAGGTCTAAAGTCTAGCTCCTCGGATGCCGCGGAATTACAAGGGGAACTTCAGGAAAAGATTTACTCTCCGCTTTCGTGTGTCCGCGTGTGTGAAATCAAGTTGCTCCAAAAAAAAATTGTCCGCTTGCTGCGTTGGACGTTACGTTGCGCTATGCTATGCTAACCTAACCGGCACAATGTGCTTTTTTTTCCCCCTTTCTTTCTTTGTGTTTCCCAGCGGCTGGCGTTAAGCTTTTAAGGCGCTTTGCCGCCCCCTACTGTTCTTTTTTGGTCACACACTGCAACTGCGTTCTTGGCAAGGCAAGGCAGGTTTATTTGAACGGCGCATTTCAAACAATTTGCACCCCCAATGTCATTCTTTTGGAGTGTAAAACGCAAGTCGTTAAGATGCTCTCTTTCCTACAACTGAATTCATGTGCTTTCCACTTTCCTAACCCAGCAACAAAAAGTTTAAACTTGAAACAAAGTATAAAACCGGAAACATATGTTCTTGTTTTTCTTCTCGCGGATTAAAAATCAACGAGAGCACAAAAATGCTGAACAGCAAAACAACATTAAGTGCAGTCACTCATTTCGTGCCTCTTTTTTTTTTGTTTTGTTTTTACAAAAACCAACTCACTCCGAATTTCTATATTTTTAAATGTTGATTCAATCTCCCCTCTTGCCCGCCGTGTTTTTTTTTCGAGGACCCCCCCGCCCCCACACCCTTCACCAGTATTTCCTGGAATGTGTCCTGCACATCCCCAAGCCACACTCCAGCACAGTAGGTGGCGCTAACGCACATCAAACGCTCGATGCCACAAAGCCCAAATCAACAAAAAGAAGCAGAAGAAAAGCGGACGTTAGCAAAGAGGCCAAAAGGAGCAACGCCGTACTGGTGGCAAAAAAACAAGTTGTAAAAGCCAAGTTGGGAAAAACGAAAAGCAAACCTTTTTGAAAGAGCCATGGCGTCCCACGAGGAGCAAGTTTGTCGCGCTCGAGACGCAACCGAGGGGCGACCACGGGGTGGAAAAGCTGCTGCTGGCACGCCGGTGCACACACAAGTTTGTCGCGCTCGAGACGCAACCGAGTGGCGACCACGGGTTGGAAAAGCTGCTGCTGGCACGACGCTGCACAAACGAGGTGCACGCTCGCCGGCTTCCTCATTTCATTTCAGCACGTTCCGCTTCTCGATTAGCATGATTGACTTTTAAATGTTTACACGAAAAGGCACAATGATGTTTCTCGGGGTCCGTCAAAAGAATGTTTCTACGAGATTGTTGATGATGGCAAAAACCTAATTTCTGAAATAGGGCTCACTGTGATTTGGCTTACATGCTCTTTGTGTTTCTTGCCTCCTCCAGACGTCCGGCAGCTGATTGGTCATCGAGAGGAGCTCAACCCTCACCCGCAGGTTGGGACCTCCCGTTTGGAGCTGCCCCACCACGTCAAAGACGAAAAAAAGGCTCCACCTGACCCCCATCTGGAGAATAAAGAGGAGGATCCGGAACGCTTCCACGTTAAGGAGGAAGAGGACGAGACCGATGTCAGCCAGTTGCTTCTCTCGGTTGTCTCCGTAAAGGGCGCCGCCGACGCACCCGAGTCGATTCCGCTTAGTTGCCGCCTCGGAAGGCCGTCGCCCGACAAACGCTTGGCGCCGCTGTCGGACAGTGACGACATGGGCGATGCGAGCGACGCAGACCGCGAAGGTGACGACAAAGCGCTGAAATCCTTCCATAAGAAGACGGGTGGCAGCTGCTCCACTTGCGGGAAAACATTTGCTCAAAACGGACCTCTGATCAGACACACGCGAACGCACACGGGAGAAAAACCCTACACTTGCTCCGCCTGTGGCAAAGGATTCACAAATAAGTCCGACATGGTCCGGCACATGAGAACGCACACGGGGGAAAAACCGTTCAGCTGCACCCTGTGCGAGAAACGATTCTCTCACAAGGAAAGTTTGGTCGCCCACACGAGAACGCACACGGGCGAGAAACCTTTCATTTGCTCCGTTTGCGGCAAAACGTTCACTCAAAATTCAAGCATGGTGGCGCACATGAGGATCCACACGGGGGAGAAACCGTACGGTTGCTCGCTGTGCGGCAAAAGATTCATTCTGAAGCCAAACATGGTCTCACACATGAGGACCCACTCTGGAGAAAAACCTTACGGTTGCTCGCTGTGTGACAAAACCTTTGCGTTTAAGTCCTGCGTGGTCACTTATGTCAACCAAATACACGTTTATTTCGTTGGTTTGCATTGGTACAACGCTCTCCGTATGCGTAAAAAGGAGGACTGAAGCGGATTTCACATATCCACCCAAAACTAGCTGCCCTAGGCAAGAGGGCCCCACGAAATATGTCTTTTGTTCGGTGACAACTGCTGTGTTTTTGTTCTGTGTTGTCTGTTTTCTGCCACTGTTGATCTCGATGTGTTCTTGTGGAAAAGAATTCCCCCACGGGGACCGTCAGGTCTAAAGTCTAGCTCCTCGGATGCCGCGGAATTACAAGGGGAACTTCAGGAAAAGATTTACTCTCCGCTTTCGTGTGTCCGCGTGTGTGAAATCAAGTTGCTCCAAAAAAAAATTGTCCGCTTGCTGCGTTGGACGTTACGTTGCGCTATGCTATGCTAACCTAACCGGCACAATGTGCTTTTTTTTCCCCCTTTCTTTCTTTGTGTTTCCCAGCGGCTGGCGTTAAGCTTTTAAGGCGCTTTGCCGCCCCCTACTGTTCTTTTTTGGTCACACACTGCAACTGCGTTCTTGGCAAGGCAAGGCAGGTTTATTTGAACGGCGCATTTCAAACAATTTGCACCCCCAATGTCATTCTTTTGGAGTGTAAAACGCAAGTCGTTAAGATGCTCTCTTTCCTACAACTGAATTCATGTGCTTTCCACTTTCCTAACCCAGCAACAAAAAGTTTAAACTTGAAACAAAGTATAAAACCGGAAACATATGTTCTTGTTTTTCTTCTCGCGGATTAAAAATCAACGAGAGCACAAAAATGCTGAACAGCAAAACAACATTAAGTGCAGTCACTCATTTCGTGCCTCTTTTTTTTTTGTTTAGAAGTAGATATCGGCTAGCAAGTAACTCCTTTCATTATACCAAAGTAAAAATCACATAAAAATAAGAATGACCTCTTTTTTTTTTGTTTTGTTTTTACAAAAACCAACTCACTCCGAATTTCTATATTTTTAAATGTTGATTCAATCTCCCCTCTTGCCCGCCGTGTTTTTTTTTCGAGGACCCCCCCGCCCCCACACCCTTCACCAGTATTTCCTGGAATGTGTCCTGCACATCCCCGAGCCACACTCCAGCACAGTAGGTGGCGCTAACGCACATCAAACGCTCGATGCCACAAAGCCCAAATCAACAAAAAGAAGCAGAAGAAAAGCGGACGTTAGCAAAGAGGCCAAAAGGAGCAACGCCGTACTGGTGGCAAAAAAAAAAAAAAAAAAACACGTTGTAAAAGCCAAGTTGGGAAGAACGAAAAGCAAACATTTTTGAAAGAGCCATGGCGTCCCACGAGGAGCAAGTTTGTCGCGCTCGAGACGCGACCGAGTGGCGACCACGGGTGGAAAAAGCTGCTGCTGGCACGACGCTGCACAAACGAGGTGCACGCTCGCCGGCTTCCTCATTTCATTTCAGCACGTTCCGCTTCTCGATTAGCATGATTGACTTTTAAATGTTTACACGAAAAGGCACAATGATGTTTCTCGGGGTCCGTCAAAAGAATGTTTCTACGAGATTGTTGATGATGGCAAAAACCTAATTTCTGAAATAGGGCTCACTGTGATTTGGCTTACATATTCTTTGTGTTGCTTGCGTCCTCCAGACGTCCGGCAGCTGATTGGTCATCGAGAGGAGCTCAACCCTCAGCCGCAGGTTGGGACCTCCCGTTTGGGGCTGCCCCACTAAGGAGGAAGAGGACGAGACCGATGTCAGCCAGTTGCTTCTCTCGGTTGTCTCCGTAAAGGGCGCCGCCGACGCACCCGAGTCGATTCCGCTTAGTTGCCGCCTCGGAAGGCCGTCGCCCGACAAACGCTTGGCGCCGCTGTCGGACAGTGACGACATGGGCGATGCGAGCGACGCAGACCGCGAAGGTGACGACAAAGCGCTGAAATCCTTCCATAAGAAGACGGGTGGCAGCTGCTCCACTTGCGGGAAAACATTTGCTCAAAACGGACCTCTGATCAGACACACGCGAACGCACACGGGAGAAAAACCCTACACTTGCTCCGCCTGTGGCAAAGGATTCACAAATAAGTCCGACATGGTCCGGCACATGAGAACGCACACGGGGGAAAAACCGTTCAGCTGCACCCTGTGCGAGAAACGATTCTCTCACAAGGAAAGTTTGGTCGCCCACACGAGAACGCACACGGGCGAGAAACCTTTCATTTGCTCCGTTTGCGGCAAAACGTTCACTCAAAATTCAAGCATGGTGGCGCACATGAGGATCCACACGGGGGAGAAACCGTACGGTTGCTCGCTGTGCGGCAAAAGATTCATTCTGAAGCCAAACATGGTCTCACACATGAGGACCCACTCTGGAGAAAAACCTTACGGTTGCTCGCTGTGTGACAAAACCTTTGCGTTTAAGTCCTGCGTGGTCACGCACATGAGGACCCACACGGGAGAGAAACCTTTTCGTTGCTCGCTGTGCGGCGAAAGATACGCTCAGCGGGCCAATTTGACTGCACACAAGCGGATGCACCACAAAGAATAAGCGTCCTGTTCAAATAGAAGTAGATATCGGCTAGCAAGTAACTCCTTTCATTATACCAAAGTAAAAATCACATAAAAATAAGAATGATCTCGTCCCCATGAAATCAATCCCCAAAGAGATTTGAAGAACGAGCAAAAATGTCAAAGGTGACCCCATGTTGGCTCTTGTGCGGTGGTAGCCCATGTTGGGATACGTTGTCCCATTTAGCGCCCCGCTCATCCGGATTCGGTCAGACTGAAAACTGTGGATCGGGATCAGAGTGATCAAATGCAACGTTGCTTTGAAAAAAAAACGGCATAAAAGTCGGACGGATTACCTGGTCCTGGATAGCAAAAAATGCAATTTCCAAATCCACGTCATCATTTTTTTTCCCCAACAACTGACCCCTGCCGCTTCCATGTTGTGGTTTCATCCACTTGTGTTCTCCCAAAAGATGTGTAAATGTTCTGTTATGCTTTGTGCTACTCTTCAATTCATCGTGGTCATCTTCATCGTCGAATGTTGCTGTCTTCACTGCTCAGGCTTACGTCATGTTTGTGTTGTGTTTGCAGCTTCGCCAAGATAGTCTTGAGCTGCTGTGACTGTTTTAAAAGTTCGAATACTTTCAGACCTGACTTGACTTCAGCTACGTTCAGGCGCATTACTGCCACCAACTGCATTGGAGTGCCACTCTGAGAGAGCTAAAAATAAGCCCCAACCAAATTCAGTTTATCACAATTTATAATCACTTTTTTTTCTGTATCAATGTTATTAGCCCACCACCACAGATGTGTCAGCAACCACTGTTTGGTTTGTGTGCCCTCGTTTCCCTCGTGTAACGGCACCCCAAGAGCCCTGGAAATGTTCTGCTCTTTTTTATTATCTTTACTTTCTATATGTTCCTTTCTCTGTGCCGAAATGTGTAGTTGTCGTGCCATCACCATAAACGAGCTAAACCACGATGAGGGTGTCTACCTTGAATTTATTGCATGTATGTATGTATGTATGTATGTTTGTATATGGCCGTCTGCCATACCGCCCCAAGATGGCAGCCTTGCCGTAACACGTCTGCCATTGTGCGAAAAGCGACCACCGAAGAAAAATAAGGCGGAAGTTGACGACGAGTGCGAGTTGAAGGCAAGAGCGACGTTGAGATGAGTGCTTGTACCTCGGCCACAAACTGTTCACGTCGTTGCTAAGGAAACGAGCGAAACTATTGGGACTGGTTGAAAGAACGATGGCGTCGTCCGAGGAGCAACTTTGCCCAGCGAGCGTGCAGAACGAGCTACGAGGAGTAGCTGTTCGGTCTGCGGTAAAAATTTTACGACGAGGCAAAATGTGAACATACACATGTGGAAGCACAACGGACAAAATCCTTTCAGTTGTTCCGTTTGTGGCGAGACATTTGCTCAAAAAGTCGCCTTGATTGCACACACAGCCGCACACACTGGGGAAAAGCCTTTGACGTGCTCCATTTGCGACAAAAGCTTTTCTTACAAGTACTCTTTGAAATCACACGTGCAAACGCACACGGGGGAGAAACCTTTCACATGCTCAGTTTGCAGAAAAAGCTTTTCTTACCGAAACCGTTTGAAAACTCACATGCGGAAGCACACGGGCGAAAAGCCTTTCACTTGTCCCGTGTGTTGCAAAAGCTTTTCCTATAAGCACATTTTGACTGCGCATAGGTGCAAACACACCGGAGAGAAACCTTTTAGTTGTTCAGTTTGTGGTAAAAGCTTATCTTACAAGCACACTTTGAAATCCCACATGCTAATGCACACGAGGGAAAAACCATTCAAATGCTTACTTTGTGGCAATGGCTTTACGTATAAGAAAAGTTTGACTACACACATGTTGACACACAACGGACAATAAATGCTCTCCTTGCTAAAACAGTGTTTGCACTGTGATTGAGAGGAAATAAATTTCATCTGTGCTGTATGTTGTACATAGAGCATATTTGACAATAAAGCTGACTTGCCCTGACTTGACTCATTACCTATCAGCGGCCATTCCAGTTGTATGTGATGTATTGTTGTATATTATGATTCATTTTTAATTCAGTGTTTTTTAGAACACTTTTTGACAACAATACCAAACAAAATTGTTATTGCCCCCATTGCAATCAAGACCATCGAGTTTTCGAGCTCTTCGCGCCTCTTTTGCCACTTCAGTATCGTCACAAGATGGGAGCCATGACTTCGCACGGCTGCCATTTTGCGGCGGTATGGAATGGAAGACGCAGCTCGAGGTGTCTTCCGACATTTGGACTCGAGTAATGGTAATTCGACAACGAGAAACAACACATACGCAGATGAGGTGCTCGTGGCTTCGACGCTCACAGCCACTCGGACCTCGTTGCAGTATCGTATACTGTCGCCAGATGGCAGCAAAGCGGCACCCCCGGAAATATTAAATGCCGCGGGCCACCATCGAAGAAGAAAAGGCGAACCTCTCGGAAGCGTGAACGACGGACTAGGTAAAAGTTGCGCTTGTGGTCGATACAAGAAAACGTCTTCAGGGTTTGTTCACACTTGAACCGTTTGGGAGAATGATGGCGTCGCGCGACGAGCAACTTTGACGTGCCGGAGAGAGGAGACCCAGCGACAGTCACAACAACAGGACGCCATTTTCTTCAGGCAAGGTCTGTCCACATCCTGCAGAGAAGACAATCTACATGTACACCAGACATGTCCAGCTGCGGTCAAGGGCCGCCGCCCGTCTTGCTTGTTTTCCATCTGTCCCTGCTGCAACACCCGATTCAAATGATCACTTAATCTCGGTGCTACTGCCGATCCGCACCAAATACTACCTTTTGGGCTAAACAAGCCACCGTAGCCCGGCATCGTAGGCAATATTAGCCCCCTTAGTGCAGGTTGATTAGACGAGATGCTTCGTCTTTCGTTTAGCCGCGCCGCTGCCATCACGTTGTGGGTCAAAGCATGAGGAGCACGGGCTCCTGCGGGTTGTTGCACCTATTCGGCGGCGCTGTTCCAAAATTTTGAAAAATAGCATCGCACAATGTGCATTGAATGACCTCCGCTTGACACGGAAAAAAATATTTTTGCCGCTCCGCACATTGCACAAATATCCAAATCAAGACAAGAGCAAGTATGAATTGCAGTTTTGCTCCATTTCCTGGTTTGTGCTTTCGGTGCCGCCCGCGTCATTTCTGTCCAATGGGAGCACCCATCGTCACTCGCGTCGATGTGTTTCCGGAATGTTGTTCTCCTGTGCACAAGAAGCCTCGGCACAGTTGTGTGAGGCTCCTTATGAGTTTCACGGTGTACTTGTGCTTCTTTTGTTCCGTAGACGTTCAACAGCCGACTGAGGGGAGCCCCAGTATGGATTGTCAGCAGCCCCCCAACGTCAAAGTGGAGGAGGAGGACGCCAGCGACTTGCCACTGACGGTTATCGTTGTCAAGATAGAAGAAGAGGACGGACGACAGACAGCTCCACTGACAGACAGCGACGACACGGACGATAGGACCGATGGAGAAGGCAAATATTTGAAAAAGGCAACGACTCTTAAAGAGAAGAAAAATTGTGAAGCGCGCCGGAGACGTCATATTCGTAAGGAGGGTTTGACCTGCTCTGTTTGCGGTAAACAAATTCCTTACGAGAGTACTTTGAATGAACACATGCGGACACACACGGGAGAAAGGCCCTTTAGCTGCTCAGTTTGTGGGGAAAGTTTTGCTCGAAAAGCCAACATGAATCGACACGAGCAGACGCACACCGGAGAAAAGACGTTCGCGTGCTCGGTTTGCGGGAAAAGCTTTTCCTATAAGCACAGTTTGAATGTCCACATGACGGAGCACACCGGGGAAAAACCTTGGCGCTGTTCAGTTTGTGGCCAATGTTTTGCTCGAAGGGAACGTTTGCACGTACACGTGAGAGGGCACACGGGAGAAAAACCCTTCAGTTGCTCAGATTGTAGCGGAAGGTTTCGCCATCGCTCCAATTTGAACGCGCACATGCGCAGACACAAAACAGAGAGAATAAATCTTTTGCAGTAGTCAGAACCCGCTTCAAAAGCTGGAAATGTTCCGTTTCATGTTTCTTCCTGTCCAGGGCGCGATAAATTGTTTTCGTGGTCTATATTGGTGTCTTCTTTTGAGCTGCACCTAGAAAGTAAGGTGCCAATTTACAAATACAACGGCGTGTTCTCAAAATGTAAACGTTGCGTGTCAATTACTCCAAAATAGTAGAAAACGTGAGTTTACCGCCGCGCGTCTTCTTTTCATGTTTCATGTTGCATTCTGACGTCTTTGAGGGTGTTTTTTTATTATTTCCTCTGCTGTTCACCCGTCGTCAATACCTTTGCAACAGGGTTTGTTCACACTTGAACCGTTTGGGAGAATGATGGCGTCGCGCGACGAGCAACTTTGACGTGCCGGAGAGAGGAGACCCAGCGACAGTCACAACAACAGGACGCCATTTTCTTCAGATGTACTTATGCTTCTTTTGTTTCGCAGACGTTCAGCGGCCGACTGAAGGGAGCCCCAGTATGGATTGTCAGCAGCCCCCCAACGTACTGAAAACTGTGGATCGGGATCAGGGTGATCAAATGCAACGTTGCTTTGAAAAAAAACGGCATAAAAGTCGGACAGATTACCTGATCCTGGATAGCAAAAAATGCAATTTCCAAATCCCCGTCATCATTTTTTTTCTTTTTCATCCACTTGTGTTCTCCCAAAAGATGTGTAAATGTTCTGTTATGCTTTGTGCTACTCTTCAATTCATCAAGGGTTTGTTCACACTTGAACCGTTTGGGAGAACGATGGCGTCGCGCGAGGAGCAACTTTGACGTGCCGGAGAGGAGAACCGGCGACAGTCACAACAACAGGACGCCATTTTCTTCAGGCAAGGTTTGCGGGAAAAGCTTTTCCTATAAGCACAGTTTGAATGTCCACATGACGGAGCACACCGGGGAAAAACCTTGGCGCTGTTCAGTTTGTGGCCAATGTTTTGCTCGAAGGGAACGTTTGCACGTACACGTGAGAGGGCACACGGGAGAAAAACCCTTCAGTTGCTCAGATTGCGGTAAAAGTTTTGCATCAAAGCAAAATTTGAGCATTCACACGAGGTCGCACACGGGAGAAAAACCTTTTAGTTGCACAGTGTGTGGTAAGAAATTCACTCAGAAGTTTTATTTGAATGCACACGCGCAGAAACACACGAATACATAATTCCGATCCGCGATCGTTTTGAGAAATTCATTGATATACACGGTGATGTCATCCGAAAGGCTTATCAGTAGAGATGTGACGACGTTTTAAATACCGCCGCGGTTTCTCGGTTATAAAATTCCGGCAATAATCCCATGTCATGTCAAAGTTGAGAAACGGAGTCATCCACTGGCGCTGTTGAGTGGGCTGTTTTGACAAGTGCTACACCGCCCCCTGCCGTCACCTTTGCTGAAGTGCTATTCGTCCGTGCGAGCTAATTTGATGTTATTTCCGTTTCTTTTGAAGTCTGATGTCTGATGGCAGAAGCAACTCGGGTAGGTCCCCTTCGCCAATTGAGCTATCTGATTGCGCAAATAAAATTTTTGTTGTTACAATTTGAAAGGCACCCGAATGAAAATGGTGGCTTTTAATCATAAACAAAAATAATATTACGTCAGACTGGTATGGTGCTTTTCTGGACGTACTGGACACTGAAATGGCTCGCAAAGGAGACTTCATTCATGCACTCGCACATTCACACTGGTGGTGGTGGTGGTAAACTACGTATTTTGCCACACCTGCCGAGGGCCAGGCTGTCAGGAGCGTGGTGGTATTCCTATTCCTATTTTGGGGGGGACAATCCCGCAATGATACAATCCTGTGCCCTTTTACTGTGAAAATATCATACAGTGACATTTTGATCGTATATTCATAATGATTTCGTGACGCAAAAAAAGAGGGCAAACAATATGAACCGTCACAAGTCAAATTTTGTGGCTGCTCTTATTTGCAATAAAAACAGTCACTGACTGACCTCAGCGTCCCTTTTACTTTTTTTTGGGTCATTCTTGAATACCGCCACAAAGGGGCGCCCGCGTAACATCAAGGCTGCTATGTTTGCCGTCAAACCACCGTCGAAGAAGAAAACGCGGAAGTTGGTGTGCTTTTTAGTTGGCGGTCGAGTGACAAAGCAGCGACGCCCAGCTTTTGTTCTTGTGCAGCTCGCTCAAATAAAACGTGCAATTGTTGAAATAGTTACAAAATAAATAGTCGGACTACTTGCAAGCGATGGCGTCGCACGAGGAGCAACTTTGTCAAGCGAAAGAGGAGAAGGATGGAGAAGCACGACAAGTGGCCGCCATTTTCCCTGCCTCCGGTGCCTCACTGCACAGTCGAGGTTTGGCCCCTTGAAGAGATCATCGATTGCTTTATTCCAAGTCGAAACACAAGTATCATTGTTTTGATTAGGATGAGTAAAATTGCCAATGACTAAAAGGGGGCAATATACTACAAAATTCTGTACAATATACACGTTAAAACAGTCAACGAGGAAGCCGTATCTCTACGATGTATAAGAGTTTATTCACATTTTATGTAGCGCTGAAGTGACTTGTTTACTGAACAGTTGTGGAGCGAATTGGGCTTGGGTTTGCGCTGTCAAAACGAACATCAGTTTACCCTCAAAATTAAAATAATGAACAAATAAAAATGTGTGCATGCAAATACGTCCTGTTTTTCTACTTTCTTCCCTCCAAATGTTGCTGCTGTAAATTGCGAATGTCACCATTGTGAGACAAATCAAGGTTTTCTTATCTTATCTGAAAATGTGATGAGCCATAGTTCATTGAGGTTTGAAGGGGGGGTCGAAGCTTTCCCACGGGCACAGGTTTATCTTTCTTTCAGAAGAGGGCTAATGCCTTTTCACAGCATTGTAAGTCCTGTCAGCCTGTCAGCCCAAATACTATGCCTTGAGGTCAGCCACTGCTCGTAAAGTTTGACGCGTGTGCTCATTTTTTTTTGTTTCGCTTGCATCTTGTAGACATCCAGCAGCCGATCGGTCATCGGGAAGAAAATCCGGAGCCCCGTCGTATTAAAGAGGAAGACCAAGATCCGCAGCAGCCCTGCGTTAAAGAGGAAGAAGAGGAGGTCGACGTCAGCGAGTTCTCACTCAACGTCGTCGTCGTGAAGAGCGAAGACGACGAAGGCGACGCAGCCGAATGGTCGCAGCTTCATCGCCGCAGTCTCAGCGGAGAGCGCCGCGGGGCACAGCCCGCAGACCAGCGCTTACCTGCGCCTTCACGCGGCGGTGACTTGGAGAAACCCTCAAGGAGCGCCGCAGACGCCGGAGAGGACGACAGACCTTTGGCAAGCGCTGCGAAAGAACATTTGACCTGCTCACTTTGCGGTAAAAGCCTCTCTTGCAAGTACAGCGTGAAGGAGCACATGAGAACGCACACGGGAGAAAAGCCCTTCAGCTGTACCGTTTGTAGTAAAATGTTTGCTTGCAAGTCGAATATGGTGAGGCACATGAGAGCACACACGGGCGAGAAGCCAACTTTTCATTGTTCAGTTTGCGGCGACACGTTTGCACAAAAGGGCTCGTTGATCGTGCACATGGCGACACACACGGAAGAGAAACGCATCGATTGCTTTATTCCAAGTCGAAACACAAGTATCATTGTTTTGATTAGGATGAGTAAAATTGCCAATGACTAAAAAGGGGCAATATACTACACAATTCTGCACACTATACATGTTATAACAGTTATGGAGGAAGCCGTATCTACGATGTATAAGAGTTTATTCACATTTAATATAGGGCTGAATTGACTCGTTTACTGAACAGTTGTGGAGCGAATTGGACTTGGGCTTGCTCAGTCAAAATGAACCTCAGTTTACCCTCAAAATTATTTTGTGCATGCAAATAATGTTTTTCTACTTTCTTCCCTCCAAATTTTGTTGCTGTAAATTGCGAATGTCTCCATTGTGAGATAAATAATAAAATGTGATGAGCCATAGTTTATTCAGGTTTGAAGGTGGGGGGGGGGGGGGCTTTCACAGGGCCCAGTTTTTTTTTTCCAGCAGAAAAAAAAATGCCTTGTGACAGCGATGTAAGTCACAAAAACTGATACGATAGAGAGCTCACATCAATCAGCAGCTCCTGTCAGACCAAATACTATGCCTTGAGGTCAGCCACCGCTCGTAAAGTTTGACACGTGTGCTCAATTTTTTTGTTTTGCTTGCATCTTGTAGACATCCAGCAGCCGATCGGTCATCGGGAAGAAAATCCGGAGCCCCGTCGTATTAAAGAGGAAGACCACGATACGCAGCAGCCCTGCGTTCAAAGAGGAAGAAGAGGAGGTCGACGTCAGCGAGTTCTCACTCAACGTCGTTGTCGTGAAGAGCGAAGACGACGAAGGCAACGCAGCCGAGTGGTCGCAGCTTCGTCACCGCAGTCCGAGCGGAGAGCACCGCGGGGCAGAGCCCGCCGACCAGCGCTTAGCTGCGCCTTCGCCTGGCGGCGACTTGGAGAAACCCTCAAGGAGCGCCGCAGACGCCGGAGAGGACGACAGACCTTTGGCAAGCGCCGCGAAAGAACATTTGACCTGCTCACTTTGCGGTAAAAGCCTCTCTTGCAAGTACAGCGTGAAGGAGCACATGAGAACGCACACCGGAGAAAAGCCCTTCAGCTGTACCGTTTGTAGTAAAATGTTTGCTTGCAAGTCGAATATGGTGAGGCACATGAGAGCACACACGGGCGAGAAGCCAACTTTTCATTGTTCAGTTTGCGGCGACACGTTTGCACAAAAGGGCTCGTTGATCGTGCACATGGCGACACACACGGAAGAGAAACGTTTCGCTTGCTCAGTTTGTGGGAAAAGATTCGCGAAGAAAAAGAATCTGACGGTCCACATGAGGACGCACACGGGAGAAAAACCTTACAGCTGCTCCGTGTGCAGCGAAACCTTTGCCAAAAAGATCTTTTTGATTGC